CGCTGAGGAGAGGCCGAATGGAAAGGCCCTGTACTGATAGTGCTGGTGGGCATAACAAAATCTCAGAAATTTGCAATGCCCAGGGAGAATAGGGATGTGTAAATATGCTTCTGTCAGGTCTATTGATGTCAGGAAGTCCCCTTTTCTGATGCTGGCTAAGATGGATTGTAGCGACTGCATCTTGAACTTCCTGTACATCAGATAGTAATTGAGACCCTTTAAATCTAAAATTGCCCTCCAGCCCTCCAAGGACTTTGGAATGAGTGGAGTAAAAACCCTGTCCCTTCTGGTCCTCCGGTACTGGCTCTATGGCCCATATCTGTGACAAGTGGGAGATGGCCTCTGACATGAGGACTGCTCTGTTCTTGTTCGTGGGGGTGGGACAAGTTCGGAAGTGATCCGGTAGACTGGACCAAAACTCCAGCATTAGACCTTGAGCTATGGTGTTCAAGACCCATGAGTCCGTGATGGTGGCTGCACATATGTCGGAGTAAAAGGACAGCCGACCTCCTATGGGTGGAGTGTCCTTGGAGTCACTTCCCTCATTTGAAAGGGCGTCCTCCTGAGCCTCGAAAGGGGCGCTTGGACTGGAATTGTGGCCGGGGTCTGGATGCGGGACGGTCCTGCTGGCGCTCCAATCTCTGGTAGAAAGGACGTGAGGTCTGGAGCCAGTCCCAGTTTGAGGCTGCCCAAAAGGACTGCCTATGATAATAGTTCTCGGAGGCCCCGCCACCCGAACGCTTATCTCCCCTCTTAGTGGTGTTAATAAGAGTCTTGCGTTTGTCCTTGCCCTCTACCAAGTATGGGTTGAGGGCTTCGCCAAAGAGATGTCCCCCAATGTAAGGCTTAGTAGCCAGGCGCCATTAGCCTTTAGGTCCGCCCGCCAGTTCTTGAGCCACAAAAGTCTACGGGCTGAAATGTCTGCTGCTATGGCTTGCGGAAAGTATCTGGCGGCAGTATCTGGGAGGCGTCAGCCATATACTGGGATGTGGCCACCAACTTACCCAGGTTCTGGTGCACACGAACCTGGTCAGGAGGGATCATGTCCTGGAGTTCACGGAGCCACAGTACGGAAGCCCGAGCGAAGAAGGCCATGGATGTGGAGGCCTTGATTGCCCTGGCCGATGCCTGATGTGATCTGCGCAACGCAGCCTCAATTTTTTTGTCCTCAGCCTTAAGCGCTTCAGCCATGTCCCCTGGAATATCAGTGTTGGAAAAAAGAGAGTTAAGTGGTTCATCAATTTGAGGTACCTCCAGTAAAGAGGCAAAAGAGGGAGCCACATTAAATAAACTTTTCTCTGAAGTCCCTAGATTGGAGATAGACCCCAGGTTACCCCACTGTTTCTGCACTGTGTTGCGGAAGAAGGGGGGACAGGGAACATGCTTTTGTGGTACCACCGGTTCAGCATAAAGCGGATTGGGATCCTTAGATGAAGACGGAGTTGGCTGGGCCTCCTGCTTCGGGGTGATGTTGGCTGTCGTGCAAGCCTTGAGCAGCAAGGAACTGAAGAAGGACTGATCAAAAAGACCAGCATGGAGAGCCGAGTCTGGAGTTGAGATGTCCTTGTCATCCGACAGGAGCAGGCCTGAAGGGTCGAATTCTGCAGATTCCGAGGAACCCTCTTGTGTGAAGTCTGGTGTTCCAGGGTAAAGGCACAACCATGGAGGTGCTGCTGGAGCTTGTGGGGGTTGTTGGGAGACTGATGAGGCCATGAACTGGGCGAAGACCTGAGTTATCATAGCCTGGAACTGTTCAGGCCCTAGTGCCTGTGGTTCAGGGAGGGTGAAGCCCTGCTGCAGTGGGTGTAAAGATAGCCTGAGACCCTGATGGAAACGTGCCCTGGGCAGTGCCCCTCTGCGCTTCTAGGTCTAGCCCTGAAATGACAGGTTCTACTTGTGCTGCCTCCCTGGGAGGAGACCAGGCCCCTGGTGGTAAATTACAGTGGACCGACTGGGGTTCAAATAGAGACCCCCAGGTGGAGTAGTGTTATACCCCTCACCGGAAGCCAGTGACCTTGCCCTGGAGAATTCCCCTTCTAAGGCTTGATGATACTTGTTGGCCTCCCTGCCAGCTGTTTTAGGCTTTTTGGAGGGCTGGGCCTTTGAAGTGATCTTCCCCGCTGCCTCTGTAGTAGAGGCCTTGTGTTTCTTTCTGGCGGGGAAGTCAGTAATGTCCTGTGAAGGTTGAGGAAAGGAATTATCTGCCATCCTAACAGGTAAATTCCCCTTTCAAATATGATTGTTTTGGGGAACCTTATGGCTAATGCTCATAGTGAGGCTGAAACAGCAGACACTCTGACAGGGCCGATTACAGTACTGTAGCGCCCCCCCACGCTGTAAGTGACCGCCGAAGGAAGCCACCTCCCTCTAGGAATCCCAAATTCCGAGGGGCAGTAAGGCAATTGGTGATAGGGGGATAGTGGGAGGTGAATGATGAGGCAATGCGTCCTTGTAGCGACGAGCTTGCCCTCCCCAGGTATTGAGTAGAATGTAAGTCAGTAAAAGGAGGAAAAGAGTGATTTCTGATAGGCACGGCTGTCAAAATGGCAGCCACGATTCGAGCGTGCCAAAAGAAACCGTCATTGGGACTCTGAGGCTGATATCAGCCTAGCTGCTGAGCCTTGACCAAAATGGCCGCACCTTGCAGTCGTCCAAGTAGTTGTCAGGGGAGCCCCTGAAACTGCAATGATCAAAATGGCGGCTGTGCAATTTTCGCACCTAAAACGCCGCCCGAAGTGCCTAGAATTTCGCCCTGATTGCCGATCTGCGCTTCGCGCCAATCAGTTGGCTGGTGCTCCTGCGGAAGCCTCCGGATCGCTACCTCCTTATTGAGTCCTAGCCGGGTCAGTACAGTCAATTTTTAAGTTAGGAAGCCGTCTGGAGGTGCCGTGCTGAATCCCCTCAGCCTAGCCGATGTCGTCTGAGCATTCTGAAGGCTCAGGGGCTCCGTGCTGGCCAGCTGGATAAGCTAAGAATTTCGGCTATTAATGGCCTGGAATGTTAATTGAGGGAAGAATGGCTCACGCAAGGGAGAGCAGTCCCTGTTCGAGCAGGCAGCTGCCTGCAGGGAATCCCTAAAAGTAAGACTTTCCTGGCCAAAGAGGAAAATTTGCCAATCAAAGGTTTCCCTTCTATTTGATTAATTAACTATTATTAACTAAAGTCCAGAATGAATGGAAAGAAATTCCACAAATGGATTATACAACCTGCTGTAGTCTGAGTAATCAAAACGCATCTGTTGAGCAAGAGACAGTCTAAAACTGGGGTGCTCCTGCACAGCAGAGGGGTAGCTATACTTCAGACTTAGTCTTATTGGAGCAGGAAGATTAAGACAACCCATTTGTGGATTCTCCATCCAATCATGCTGAAGAATAGGAATGATTTGCCACTTGAAAAGAACCTCCAACCACCGTAGGAGTAGATTGGGGAAGAATCCCTTTCCCCCTCTCTTTTATCCGGTAAAGGACTTTGCGACGGACACGCGGTCCGCAAGATGGCGGCCACGTCCCAACTGCCGTTCTCACCCCTTGGCTCCGAACAGAAGGCAAGGTGCTCTCCTATCCTGACATGGTGCGGGAGGAAGGCAGCAAGGAAAAACAGCCTCCTCAGCTGATCGGCGGCATTTTGGGAGCCCTGAGTGGCTGGGAAATGAAGCCCTGTGGCCTCCATGGAGCTCAATCCGGTCGCCGTAGGGCCGTTGGAGCTGCAGCCGCAAGCTCCGACCATGAGGTGAGCTGGGGGAAGGAGAGGGGGGTGAATTGCAGCAGCACTGAGCCCAGCGCTGAGCTAAGAAGAAAGGGAAAGAAAAGAAACGGAAGCCTCCGTTTGCTAATCAATCCCAATGGCAGTCAGATGAAAGAAGAGTCCTCTGGAAGAGCGCTGGTCCCAGCACTACTCAGAGGGCTGGAAGTTAAAGAACTAATGGATAATCCACTAATAGATTAAGATCTACCTGCCTCTGAGCCAAACATGCACATCTGTTCTGGGCAAGATCAAGTTGAGACTGGGACAACTGGCTCAGGACAGGCGTGGCAAGTTTGGCCGACTTGATCTGATTAGGCAGGAGGATTGAGTTAACCCATTGGTGGATTATCCATCTCCTGTGCTGGAGAATAAATAAATTTGCAAAAGTTGGAATGGAAGGAACTACATTTCCTAATATTGTTTTCTCTTTGTTTGTAATAACAATAGGGACAGAATAAATCTGAAGTAAATTATTTTATAACTTTCTCCAGCCTATTTATCTTTAAATAGAGCTCACACCATGGGACAAATATAGAACATTTGAAATTCTTTAATATTTTTCAATTCATTTTAGCATAAAAATTATTTTAACTCTGAACCTTTATTACCACAAGTGGAGAGAGACAGACAGGTACTCTATTTATTGCAAAACGGTAAATAGTATGGCTATAAAAAAAAATCTCAAAGTGCCCCTCGAAGTGATGAAGTAGTTGCATTCTCTAGAATACTTGGCTTCAGCAGTAATCACCAAAAATATCTGTACATGAATATACAGAACCTGCTTCAACACTTCAAAGAGGGGTGCTTAACTTGCACCAACATGGTTTATATATTAGCTCTATGTTAAGCCTTATCTCACAGAGAAACAGTAATTTTGGCAATAGGTTGAATCTATAACACACTATATACACACACCTGAAATGTATGATCCTGCAGCCAAAGACAACAGGCATCTATAACTGAGGTGAAATAAAATTTTCCAATCATGTGGAAGCAGTTAAGCTATCACAATGTAAATGTTATTCTAGAAAAGTCTGATTTATTATATGAAGTCATAGTTTAATTATTTAGGTGACTGTTACTAAGCCATTATGATACATTCTACTCAAATCCAAGACCCTAAACACTGCCTCAAGCTGTAGGAAAACTCCAACCTAAAACACTATAAATCTGCAATATTTCCATGACTTGTTTATGGTAATGAGACATTACATTTAAGGCTGCTGAAAATTAATGTTGTTAATTTAAAATCTTACCGTGGAGAATTGAATCCACTATCTACTGTGATGCTACTACTGTCCATGCTGTCCAGCCTTGCTGAATGTGTGGCTCTCTGGCTGTTGCTGTTTTCAGTTTCCTTTGGAGCAAGTAGAGTGAGATTCTTTTCAAACTTCCTTTGCAAGTCTCTTTCCTTTTCTCGCTCAAGAAGCCATTGCATAGTGCCCACATCATCCCGATTCTTCTCTTCCTCTGTATTCTTATTAGTCCCTTCCTCAGAATCATCATCATCAGACACATTGTAATAATCAAAAGCTGCTTCTTGGTTTCCAGCTGTTTCTTGCTGCCTCTGGGAAATTGGTATGACTTGTGTGACTGAGGTTACCATAGCTTGTTCAAGTTTATCACATCTGCTTGGCAAAGTTTCAGAAGGTGTCTTTTGATGAGATTTTAAGTGTGGCACATTAGGTTTGTGAAAACTGTTGACAGATAGAGTACTGTGGAGAGGCTTAAAAAGCGTGTCTTTACTAAATATTTCTTTCCTCTTATCAAGGCTACTGGACTCTGTGCTGTGATGTTGAGCTAGTCGACCATTTGTAATTACTTCAGCTGTCTGACTTGCAGCGATTGGCCCACTATTATTACTTGGCCCTTTAGGTGACTCCTCTCTATGGACTCCTGGTTCTCTAGCTAAGTGCTGTGACTGTCTTTCTGAGGGAGAGACTTTTTTTGTACTGTCTGCCAAAGTCACTGGGTCACTGTCATCTTTGTTCTTTCCTAAAGGTGAAGGAGCTGTGAGTACTGTTTCACTGGAAGTATTACACTGAAAATAATCATCAATGGCTGATTTTGTTGTACAAGAACTGAGTTCGTTATAAGGTGGTAAGTTCTCCGTTGGTTTGCTTTGTTCTAACAAGGTACAGGAAATAGGAGTTTCTGCACCACCAACAGTCTTTTCAGGTTTAATTACCTCTTTGTAATTTACAGATGACAGAAGAGCCCTTTGATGACTAAGTGATTGTGAAGGCCTTAAGGTACTATCATCTATATATGTTTGACTAGTTGTTTGGTCATCTTGGCTGCAAGCTTCAGCTATGTCTTCAGGGGTACCTAAAGAAGCAGTCCCCAAAGGTCCTTTTGAGTTATCCATAGATCGAGATCGTTCCTTGGCTTTATTGGATCTCTCATTTCTTGATCTTCGGTCCTGTGTGTGGCTGTGGCTTCGATGGACCTTAGAATGGGAGCTTCCTCTTGAAGGTTCAGGAAAAGGCATTTCTGTTCTCCTTTTGGCCAATTCACCAGATACATCCCATTCAGGTGTCATAGGAAAATGAGACTCAAGAACATTAGGACTGCTGTGCATGATAAAGTTGTCCCTTTTGTGTTCTATTATGTAGCAGCCTTCCCTTGGGGACCTCATGAGAGGATCATAGAAATCATATTCCCTTTCACCTGGCACATCTAAATGGGAACCCTCTGAAGGATCTCCTTTAGAGACTCGAGTTTTGCTGTGCGACCGAGATTTTCCGTGAGATTTTCTATGACTTCTACTTTTTTTGCTTCTCCCGCTATGGTGAGCTGATGATCCAGCCTTGCTCCTTTGAGCTTTTTCTTCTTCAAGCTTCTTCATTAGTGCAGTGTGCCTCATGACATTTTCCACAGTCAGATCAGGATTGATACGCCTAATAATCTCCATTTCTACCTCCCTAGGTATAGTGGTAGGAGTATCTTCATCCCGTAAAGGCCATTCCTCAGGAGGAAACTGGGCAGAAAAATTGGCCAGCTGTTTTGTCTTATCTTTTTTGAAACTCAGTCGAAACAATTTTAGCCCAAACTTTTTAGACTGCTTTTCTCCATCTTTAGGCTTTGAAAGTGTCTCTGTTTTGTAAGAAAAATTTACAGTACTTTTACTTTTTTCAGTGGGTGGCACCTGGCAAAGAGAAGGAGGGCAATAAGAGTCTTTGCAGTCTTTTGTTGATTTCCTCTGTAGAGTCGATGCATGCATGCTATGCATGTCTTCTCTGCAACAATGGCAAGAGTCGCAGTGGTTTTTAGGTAACGTTCGATCTCTGACACAGCCCGAGGTGGAAGGAGTTATAGTTCCTTGCTGTGGAGAGGTACACTGAGACCTGTCAGGTATCCTCTCATCCAGATGGTACCATTTACTGTTAGTTCTTATGAGGGAAGGTGTTATAAAATAAGTCTGCGGGGTCACAATGAAGTAACCATCTGGAGTTGGGTATATTTTTCTTTCTCGTACAAGCATGTTTAAGGTATGACGAAGGATTTCAGGACTTGGAGTTGGAACACCTAAAAAAAACAATAATGTGAAAAATGAGATGCATTTTATTAGGGACAGTTCTGAATATTCTTTTGAAGCCCTTCCTTCAAATAATCTCTCATCTTCCCAAGATATAAAAAAAGTCAAAAAACAAAAATACCCTGGCAAAGCATCTTGCTATGGGTTTGCTTTCAACTTATTGTTTGTGCTTAAAATTTTTAAACAAAAAAGCATTAGTCAGGTTTTTAAAAGTACAAATAAAATATTGATAAAATTCAAATTTATATCCAAATGTTTAACTATAATCTGTGTTCTTCTACTTGAGAGAATTTTGATAAGTATTATTTTAATTAAGTCTTTCTTAAAACACAAAAGCAAGAAATCAAAAGACATCATTCTGCTTTTTTAAATAACATCAGAAAATTAACAAGAGCTTTAAAAAATCCCCAATATATCTCTAGTGAATCTTAAATTATATATATGATCCATTAAAGTGAAATACAACCTATAATTCAAGAAATTACTTTGATATGAAGATATCAAAGCAAAGCAAAATATTTTGGAACTTTTTCCTTTTGTGTGACCACTGCTGCTTTGATGTTTTTTTTAGACATTTGCAACTATAATAAAAAATGCTATTCAAACTGAACTTTTGGATATTCCAGATTAAGCAATTTAGCATATTATATATTTCCTAATAGTTATAAAATACAATATAACAATTCTAGCATGTAGGTGAATTTCTGGAAGTTTGTCATATAAATTGATTATAATACAAATAATTTCTTAGTTGCGCTTTTCTGGGGCAAATGTTACAGCCATTATGTATAATACAGACTTTCAGATTACTACCTTATGACTGAAAGAAAAAAACCAGACTAACAGAGGGCTCTTTTATATGTAAAGACATTTTAGATTTAACACCTATTTCCATGATACAACTGCTAAAAAGAAATCCAGTTATTAGAAAAATCACTATTCATGTTAAAATCAGTCAAAGAAGCCATCTATCTCAAATTGAACAGCCCTCTCTCAACAGAGGGGGAGTGATATGACATCATCTATCTCCAGTCTACAACACAGTCCTTTCAACAGTTCCAAGAAGGCTCCACACCCATTTGCACTACTCAAGTGACCTTGACAACACAGATAAGCCTCCAGGGACTTCAACAACTTGTTAAAAGAATTCAAATGACCAGCTGTCTGCAAGGAGTATAAATCCTGCCATTCTCCACCATCCAGTCAGAGCTGAAGAAGCTTCTTGGATGAGAAGTGAAATGTCTTCAAAGAAAAACAAGAAAGTCCAGTGCCTCATGAAAAAAGCACCTTTGGGATAACCATGACTTGGATGACTGAGAATCTCCATAGACATTTCCCTCTCAATCATTAACTGAACTATTTATGTTGGCATAAATTAGCATCATGAAAGAAGAAAGAAAATACTTATTTCATTTACAGAGATACTTGATGTATTCATTTACCTGGCCAGTGGTTTCCTTTTTTAAAATATGTTTTATTAATTTTTAACATATACTTTAATATTCGGTAAATATTGTGTTCTCTGGGTTAGTATTTCAAAACAGTAACAATTAATTTCTATAATTCTATAGCCTGTATAATAGCTTTACTTGATTTCCTCTTCTTCCAATAATATTCTCCTTTGCCAAACTTAATTCAATACAGTTCTTATTTAAATAAATGACAATTAAATATAAACATTTTTCTCATGTTTCTTCAAATAATAACCACATCAATATAAAGCTTCTTTTCATTAATTATCTTGATTGCCTCGTCATAAATCCTGTTTACATTCTTATTTAAATTTCTTTTCCTCACAATATTCAAAACATTCTTATTAGTTAAGATTTTCTCAAAATTAGTTACACTTAAGTATTTAAGTCTTTTTTCTCACACAAGCCATCACATTTTTACATTTCTCATATCTTAAAGAAAAATAAGAGAAAAAAAGAAAGACAAACAGAGAAAACATTTCTTTTATGTAAACCATTCCAATATTTTTATATTTCTCATGTCAAAAAACCAAATACAAAAGAAAAAAGAAAGAAGGCATACTATATTACTTGAGGCGTTCATCCCTCTTAAACTAATCTTATTTTATATTCAAAATCTTTCTATTTCTTTAACCATATTCAAGAACAAATGTTTAATTTTTAAATACTCCCTCTGGTAATTCCCATCATCTAATTTTTTAATTCTCACTTTAGCCCCCCTTTTTTGCCCAACATCTTTCCTGTTTAATATGCTTCAATGAGTCAAAGAGTCTTCCCATAATCTTATAAATGTTGTTGCAGGTACAAAAGACAAAACAGGTAAGATGATGTTTTTATAGGAAGGTTTCACCCCTTCGTATTTTTTGAAAATCTTTTCTTTTTTTCTTTATTAATTTTTTAAATTATTTTTGTCTCTCAAGTTCTCATAATTCTTCTAACAAAATCCATTTTGCCAAATCTTTTTTCTTGTCCTCAAACTTATTTTGTAATCTTAAAGTGCAGTTTGTCTTTTCCATGTCCAGAGTTTCCTGTAATTTTTTTGCCATCTGGGTTAAGTCATACTTTGTATTGTTAGATTCCATCTTGGAATCTCTCTCCTCTGTCTCGTATTCAGTTGTCTGTTTTTTCTGCTCACTCTCTATTTTTATTTTCTGAGAATGTTTATGTTGTAAAGTTAAATTGGAGATATGCTCATTTAGGTTTTCAAGGTTATGTTTAATTTCCTCGTGGTTTGAGATTATTGTTGTTTGGATTAGTTGCAACATAGCATAGATCTCCTTCTGGAAAATGTTTGTTTTTTCTTGGTATATTCTTTCTGCAGATCTCTGGTTTTCCATGATAGCCAAAAATCAGAGTTTTCCTTTCTCTGCAGACAGCTTTAGAATCACAGTTGAGTTGAGTTAGTATTTGTAATCCAGAAAGGTCAATTCTTTTTTTTTTTAGAACTTATAATTCTCACTTGTAGAAAGCCCAAGATGTTTTCTTTTTTTCTTTTCTTTTTTGTCACAGCTGTTCTCTGTTATTAAGACACTGAAAGTCACCAGAATCAAATTTATCTTTTCCTGGGCCTTGACCTGGCCAATGGTTTCCATTGACAACTATTTCATGAGTCAAACTTGGAAAAGTGAGAGCTGGAAGCTTATAAGAATAAATCTCATATTGCTTTTAAAAAAATAACTGACACTGCAGCCCAAAACGGAAAGTTTTTACAGACTATTAGTAGTTTGTGTGAGAGGTCTTGATTAAGATTAGAAAATAAATTTGCATAAAATTCCTCCCCAATTGGGGTTGGAATAGGAATACTGAATTGGAATTTACGTTTTCTCAATAAACCTGATACAGTAGTCCAGAAGAAAACTGAATTTATTCCTTTCACTAAAACTTCGACATTTTACTAAATTTTAACTCCATAGGAGACTTTTTAAAAAGGCTATCAGTTTGTGGTTGTCATGCATAATTTTTAACATTTCGGTGTGGTTTATTCGTGGTGGGGTGTCCCAGGACCTTGTACATTGCTTCCTTTAATAACTTTCTGATATGTAAACAGTCAGAATCCAACCATTTTGAACTTCTTTGCTTATGGTTTCAGGTGGAGGGGGGCACAACATAGGTCAGGGAAGCTGCATTGGTGATAGAGTGCACAGGGGTCCCTTCCTTCCTCCCTCCCTCCCCTTTCCCTTCTCTTACTTTTCCTTTCAAGCAGGCAGTTAAGTGGCTGCTGCTGGTGGGTAAGGGAGCAAGGGAGAGTTTGGAAGATTAGTTGGGAACCTATGAAGGAATATTGAAAATGAAGATCACGTAGCAGCAGTGTGGCAACAGCCAGTAGCATTAAAACAGTCACAACTTTCCCAAGTGTTATTCCATCAGGAGTCATAAATCTTGGATTTTGGACACATTCTGTAAGTTAGCCCATTTGACGTACTTTGGTTTAAAAATTCTTGACCTATGATGCATTGTTTTGCCCAATTAAGCATCATGACAACAAGAGATTTAGTAGCATATACTGTAGATGAACTGTGAAGGCAGATATTGAATACAATTTTCGAAGAAGATTAAAGCTGTACATTGCTTTATGTACATATACAATACTTGTAGCTTATTGTGTTCATTAATGCATTCTTGAAATGCATTTTTATCAAAAAGACATTAAAACTAGGCACAATCGAGCATTTCTTTATCTTCCTTGTATCCACAGCAGAACCAATTTTATTTTGAACACATTTTAAAATATGATATGGTATGATATGATATGACATGATCAGTTTTGGAACCAAGTTGGGCAGAGATAAATTGTTTTGATAAGTCAGTATCTCCTACCTCCTATTTCATCCAAGTCTCTTATGAATTAATAGGGAACCTCCATTCAGTATCTGTAGATGTAAAGATTTGTTTTTGTTTTTTTAAAAAAAAAAGAAGGAAGGAAGGAAGGAAGGAAGGAAGGAAGGAAGGAAGGAAGGAAGGAAGGAAGGAAGGAAGGAAGGAAGGAAGGAAGGAAGGAAGGAGACATTGATTCTGGGTAAGATGCTCAGTCCTCTCCTCAAAATTAACATTGTAGTTTGAAGTTCCTTCATAATGGGATTCAGATGTTTCTATACTATTAATGTGAGCATGCAGATGCTCTATGGTTAGCCATATGTTCCTAGACCATCCAATAATACGTAGGCATGAAACAACATATTCCAAATAATACATAATCTTCTAGTATCATTTTCTTCTAAGATGTATTATTGAGATTCAATAAACAAAACATTTGCTTAATATATTTGATTTAAAATGCATAATGCTTGCAATGTGATGCCATAAATAATTAGCACATTTTCTTCTTTCTATAGCTGTGGCTCAGATTTTTTCCCCCTATTGCTTAGCAAACTATGCACACCACAATTTCAATCTGGTTTCAGATTGGTAGGCATCACATAATCTATACATGTGCATTTCAGAACCCAGACAAAACAGAGCTACATTGATCAGAACATTTAAAAAATTTCACCCCCAAATTAGAATGCACTTAAAATTATGCATGCTGTCAGACTACATGTGACTTTAATAACTGTTTTCCAATTGCTAGTATTTTTTCAACTCCTACTTTAAAACTTGAAGGATCCATTTCAAATACATTTGAATAGGAAGGTTTTGTGATGGCACAAAATATTGCAGGCTAACTGCCCACTGCCAGGAGTTTAATCCTAACAGGCTCAAGGTTGACTCAGTCTTCCATCCTTCTAAGGTCAGTAAATTGAGGACCTAGACTATTGGGGGCAATATTCTGACATTTGTAAACTGCTCAGAGAATGCTGTAAGGAACTATAGAGTGGTATATAAGCCTAAGTGCTATTGCTATATTTGTAATATATGCCCTCAATGCATCACGATGAAAACTTAATTGAAAAAATTGATTATTTGGACTTACAATAATTTTCTTAAATAATATAAAACAGCAACCTGGGCAAAACATTGAATATTTTTCTGTAAAGTGTGTAATTTTAAATTACTCCTTGCATATATCTAAAATAAAGAACAGAAAATCATTTCTAAAAAACAATTAGTGCTTATACAAGGAGAAAATATTACTAAATGTTCAGTAATTATCATATGCCATTCTTGTCACCAGAAAGTTGGGAAAACATTCTGTGATTTTTTACATGAAATTCAGTGTTCTTATTTGTTCTAAGAAAGTATGCCAATCTCGAAGTAATGAGTAAAAGTTGACCTGAATGGTAAACTAAGTTTCATTTTGTTTATTAACTGGATCTACTACGAAAGAATTATAGTTCATATATAAAGATAGTAAAACAATTTAAATAAAATGTTTGACCTTATGAACTGAAAATAGAAATGTACTTAGCACTAAAGGAATAAAATTAGCATAAATGTAGCCTCTTTGTACATGGGCCTAAGGCTTCTTTAAGACCTCTATTCTTAACAATAATATGACACCTTCAAATAAATATCAGTATGTGAAAAATATGTCCATGCGACCTACAAGAGAACAAGAAGAAAAGTAAAATAATATAGGTTTTATTTAAAGACAAAAGTAACCAGAGAAGAGAATGAATTTAAAAGTATAGTAGATTCTGCCATTATAAGAGAATCATGGAGGCAGAATATAGGTTAACAGTTATTCAATGCAGTTTTTTAAAAATAAGATGACTTAGTTCAAAGCCCATACAAATGCATAGCTGGGATTCATACTGATATTACAGATGAATGATACAGAACAATTATATATACAATTATTGAAGCAGGGCTATCTATACATCTAATCATTTGTGCATGTGTTTAGAGACAGATTAGTATATATTTTACCAGGAAAGCAGGTTGTTAGGTGCTCTATTAAAGCTTCTTGCGTGACTTGTTTTCGTGCTGCATTCATTGATGAGATGGCCAAGCAAAGGATTTCTCCAAGTGGAATAAATTGTGACTGACTGATGGGTGACATATTGATTGGCGATACATCACCTGTAGATAGAAAATGAGATTTTGCTTAACTATCCTCAAGTGATTGCAATGAGACACGTGCATGCTTCCATTACAACTTTAGAGTAAAGCCTAATAATGTTTTGAAAGCAAAAAAAATGCAGATTGTATTTTTATGGAGATTAAAATAGCAACACCTATTTAATTCAACAGTTTAGCTTAATAACTGAATGGATGAAAAGAGAAAGAGAGGAGATTAAGATGTATAATTACAAGGTACATCTGCAATTATAAACAATTTTAAATAAAATGTATTTTAAGTTGTAAATTCTGTATAGTTAAATTAGTGAACTCTGGTATAACATTAGTGAATTAGTGAAATCAGTGTAACAGGTAAATACAGAACAATTTACTTATTGTATCAGTGACATCAAAAATCCAATGAAACTACTGGAAAGTAGTATATCTAAAATCAATGAATGGTCTTAAATTGAGGTTTTCAAAAAATAATAAATGAGTATACGTATTCTGACACAAAATGTCACAATTGACAGTTTTATCCTTTTAGGTCATTTAACCAAACATTTGCTGGCCACTTTCTATTTATCCAAATCTGTACCTGTATATTACAAGAGCTATATTGGAATAACATAGATCATTTTTAAACAGCAATAAGATTATCATTTAAAAATTATCCACTATGAGTGCATAACAGAATCAATTTTAGGAGCCAAAGTACTATTTTTTTTCGAAACTACATTTTGTCTATTGTTTTTCAATTTCAAAACGACCTGCTAGAAAACCACAATAGGAATGGGTGATTAACTTCATGCCTTCTTTTGGACTTTTCAAAGATAATTGGTAGCCACCTTAAGATATTATACTAGATATGTCGCTAATCCAATCAATGAAAAGACTGCTTATACTCCTAAAGTAAGAACAGGAGACTTTGATAGAAAATTGTCAAATAATTTATTTAAAACCAAATACATTTTATTTGGAGAGTGGAGACAGGGACAAAATATATACCCCAAATCTCTGTAACAATATTTTGACCTTGTAAGAAGGAAGTATCATATGCAGTGCTAATGCCCTGCCTGATATAAGTAAATACAAACAAAAGTTCATTAAATGTTTAAGAAAGGTTAAAGGGGCTAGATTCAATCTCTCAACTGAATATTGAGTACTTATTGATAAGCAAACATTTTACAGTGGTACCTCGGTACTCAATTGCTTCAAACTTGTCGAATTTACTTGGACTTCAGTAAGGCATTTGATAAAGTAGATCACAACCTACTACTTGACAAGATAGAAAAATGTGGGGTAGACAGAACCACCACCAGATGGATCCGTAGCTGGCTGACCGGCCGTACTCAGCGAGTGGTCCTCAATGGAACTGCATCTATATGGAGTGAAGTGTGTAGTGGGGTGCCCCAGGGCTCTGTTCTGGGCCCAGTACTCTTCAACATCTTCATCAACGATTTGGATGAAGGGATAGATGGGGAACTCATCAAATTTGCAGATGACACCAAGCTGGCAGGAATAGCCAACACTCCAGAAGACAGGCTTCAGATACAGAAGGATCTGGACAGACTTGAACACTGGGCACTAAATAACAAAATGAAATTCAATGGTGAAAAAAGCAAGGTTCTACATTTAGGCAAGAAAAACCAAATGCACAAGTACAGCATAGGTGGCACCATGCTCAATAGTAGTAACTGTGAGAGGGACCTCGGAGTCATAGTAGACAATCAGTTAAATATGAGCCAGCAGTGTGCGGCAGCTGCCAAAAAGGCCAACACAGTACTAGGCTGCATTAACAGAGGGATAGAATCAAGATCACGCGAAGTATTAATACCACTCTTCAATGCCTTGGTAAGGCCACACTTGGAATACTGCATCCAGTTTTGGTCACCATGATGTAAAAAAGATGTTGAGACTCTAGAAAGAGTACAGAGAAGAGCAACAAAGATGATTAGGGACTGGAGGCTAAAACATATAAGGAACGGTTGCTAGAATTGGGTATGTCTAGTTTAACGAAGAGAAGGACAAGGGGGGACATGATAGCAGTATTCCAATATCTCAGGGGCTGCCATAAAGAAGAGGGAATTAAGCTATTTTCCAAAGCACCTGAAGGCAGGACAAGAAGCAACGGGTGGAAACTCATCAAGGAGAGAAGCAAACTAGAACTAAGGAGAAACTTCCTGACAGTGAGAACAATTAATCAGTGGAACAGCTTGCCTCCAGAAGCAGTAAATGCTCCAACACTGGAAGTTTTTAAGAAGAGACTGGACAGCCATTTGTCCGAAATGGTGTAGGGTTTCCTGCCCGAGCAGAGGGTTGGACTAGATGACCTCCAAGGTCCCTTCCAACTTTACTATTATTATTATTATTGGTACTCAATGCATTTTGACGTGAAAATGTTGTCTGGTATTCATTGTTTGTTTGTTACTTGATGCGCGGCGATAAGAAAAGGCAGACAGCTGGGGAGAATGGACAGGGAGTCGGTCATGCAGAGGTCACTGCAAAAGGAAGAAGGTGATGGTCGCAGAGGATGGACAGGAAGCTGGCCATGTAGGGAAAGTTGCTAATATAGGAAAAGGGACAGAGAGGAAGTCCTTCCAGGCCAAAACAGGGTCACAGGGGAAGTCACATGGTTTCTTTGGCAATCATTGTTTTTAGCATTTGTTTTTAGAATTTGTTGCACCTCCTGGAACCAATTAATTGCATTTTCAACCCACTATACAAACAGTGGTACATGGTCAGTTGGGGTCACAAATATTCACATATGTATATATTACACATGCACATCTGCATTCACCCAGCACACTAAACTGCTGAATTGAGAACATTATGGGAGCAGAACAACTCCTTGTAGATTTCTGGTTCCCCACTGCTGCTAATACCAAGGAACTAAGTAAGTTTGACCTTGTTTCATCCCCACCCAGAACTTCTATTTTAAGACTATTTTCTTGCTAACATTAGTAGTGGGCAATGAGTGATCTATTGAAACTTCTAACAGAATCCTGATCAGATGGGAGGTGGGAAAACTGGGAAAAACTCCCAGAGGATCTGGGGGCCATCTATCAAGCACCATACGTACTGTCATTTTTTACATGTTTTTTATCATAAATGTGCATGTCACAGTGTAGTTCAGAAATAAATCTGCCAGCTTTAGTGAGCTGAAGAGCAATGAACTGGATTTCAGAATGACCACAAATAAGGTAATCTCAACAGAAGAGAACTTATAAAAATTCTTTTTAATACTGACCAGAAAAATACAAGGAAGCATTGCTGAAGAAAAAGTAATCATAAAGAAGAAAAAGTCTTGCTAAAATAAATATTTTGTAAATGAAACTTTGTCTCATATTTTTAAAGATACAAACATATAAAATAGAAGCTAAACCAATTGACTAAAACATTAAAAATATTGAACAAAATTTCCTACTGTAGCATAAGACAACAGATCTTCTAATGCACCAGTTTCCTCCTCTACCCTCTTATTCATTCATTCCTGCAATTTATATGTTACTTAGTCCAAAATGTTCAGAGCTGCTTACAAATTATAGAAAATAAAACAGAGGAAGTTTTAAAATAACCCAATCAACTTTCTAGCCATAAGTTTACACTGAGAATAATACTTCTAGCGGCACAAATAATCTTTTATGGGGAGGGAAGCCTGCCATGCCATGAATTCCTATAATTTTTGGAACATTTGGTTCTGGCAAATTTCCTAGACACCATCAGGTTGGTGCTAACCAGATCTCCAAAGAAGAAGGGCACTGGCTATGGCACATCAAAAACGTAATTAAAAAGTAATAAATGTTTACATATGTCTAATTGTTCTGCCTTTTAAAAGCTTATCATAATTCAGTTCTTTTGATACCTTAGATAATAACTACTTGTTGTAGTTGAGCGCAACCCTCATTCATCTTCTTTGCTACCAGAATTAATTCTAAAGGCACTCAACTGATGTCTATAAGCTACTAAATGACTCATTTAAAAGACAAGTACATTAGTAAAGTTCACAAAGAAGCAATGTTAGCTCATCTTCTTCTTACAGAAATAAGAAGTGGCTACATTTTACCCCAATTATCCTTTGGGACTAGGAAATTACAAGTATTTCATAACAATGGTTAAGCAAATAATTTGTAAGAGTTTTCAATTTCATTAATAATTGCAAAATACATTTTTAACCAGAACTGTACCAGCTGAATTGGTTTTAAGCCATTCTAGATTTTGCACAGTGTATCAAAGTCTGCTTTTCTAATATATGCATAGCCAGGATATACGGAGGGCTGAGTTTTTAAGAAATGAAATTGGTTTCACCTTAAACCATCAGTCATTTTTTAAAAAGGTGAAATGTTATGACCCATTCATTTCAGAAAATATACCCTTGCCAAAAAGAAGAAGAAAAGAGGTTGGTCGGCTACAGTTTTTGCACTTTGGCTTTAAAACATTATAAAATATATTTGCCATGGTGTATTGTCTTTCAAAGATAAAATCACAACAATTAGAAGCCTTTTAATTAATAAAAGATGTTATTTCTTTTGAATGCTATTCCTCTTTGCTGATATGCACAAAATCAAACATAAACTTCAATCGAATTACTATATTCAGCTTGTCAATATTTATGTTACAAATGAAATGGAAAACTAAGGGGCACAAGATAAAATGCTTTTACAGCTTGACAGTGCATTTTATTCAAATACTTCCAATAAAGGTCTTATAACTACTGTTTTAAGTGAAAGAAACAGTAGTCAACTCAGAACAAACAAAACAGAAATTCCTGCTCCCTATTACCTTCTCATTTTCAGTACCCAGAATGAAAATGTCTACATAAAGAAGTTGTACTAGTGAACAAGATGCTGCTTACAGATTCCACAGAATTGTAAAACAGAACTAAATTTCATTAATTTACAAAACTATTGTGCAGCTCTCAATCAACATAAATTACTATCCCATTTTACAGATTAAAATAAAATACAAAGTACAGCGAAGTTAGTAGCAATACAGATGAATATCTCCATCAAGCCCATTCA